AATATCTTTTTTAAAAACTAAATCCTACATTAAGAGACAGTTGCAAACAAAATCTTAAAGCAATATTTTAGTGTTAATCAACAAAAGTCGTATGCTATTGTTCCATCAAGCTAATGCACATATGAACCATCTCAACCCTGCAGCTCTGCTTACTTAGCAATTTTCAAGAATATGGTATAGCTGGGCACTGGTGGCTCACGCCTGTAATCCTAGCTACTCAGGAGGCTGAGTTCTGAGGATCACAGTTCAAAGCCAGACCAGGCAGGAAAGTTCTTAAGACTCTTATCGCCAATAAACCACCAGACAACCGGAAGTGGTGCTGTGGCTCAAGTGGTAGAGTGCTAACCTTGAGCTGAAGAGCTGAGGGACAGTGCTCAGGCCCAGAGTTCAAGTCCCATGAACAACCAAAAAAAAAAAAAAAAAAAAGAATATGGTACCAATTGGTTTGAGCTTTCAATCATTTAATTCAACCCTATTCAGCCTCTATCATTATATGTAGCATCGGCAAAGTCTCTGGAGAATATGATTCTTAGGTAAACCGTTTCAATCCTTTTCCTTTTTTCAGTACTGATAATTAAACTTTGGGCCTTGCCATTGCTAACGCTGCACTTCTGAACCACTCCTCCTGCCCTTCCATTTGTAATGTTCTAGCTAAGAGTTTTACTAACTTTACCCAAGGAAGTCTTGAACTCACTATCTTTCTGCCTCCACCCTATAAATAGTTGAAATCACAGGTGTGACCACCATAACTGGCTTTGTTATGGTGAGTTTTAAAATATACAAATAAAAGGAAATATCTGCCCATAATATACATTCAAGACAATTTAAGTACTTCTAATTACTCTTGCAGATTATTGGATGTGTCCAGGCTTGTTGAAACTGTTTGGGCTCAAGGCACTGACAGATAATAATCCAATTGGATTTGTGACATATGGTCCTTGTTCAAAGAGTTTTCTTCTGACAATAAGAAGCATTTACCTAATACACAGTCAGTCAGGTAAGCATTATTAAAATGTTTTCACAGATGAGCAAACTGAAATGCAATAATTAGCAGCCCGATTAATCTGCAGGTCTGTGATGATGACAGTCTGACACAGCCCTGATTGTGTTCTGATTGGCTGTGGGTGATACCCTGTCATTGAGAATCAGCCATGCAGAGACCTCTGTCTTGATGGGTAAAGACACCAAGTTGTGGATGTTACCTAACTACCATGCCCACCTTAACTAAAACTAATTCAGATTCTTTGAAAATACTGTGTATTAGAATATATGTCAAATTAGTTGTTTTTTGTTCAATGTAACTGTGCATAGTAAAACTAGGATCCTGTTCTTAGAGTATCATCTACTTCCAGACTCAGTTTCCAAGGGAATTATGGCCAACTGGCCCATCATTTCCCCATGCCTCTCTTCCATTCCTATGTAAATACATGATTTTATACAGAAGTGGGATACTTCTGTAAGTACCATTTTGGAGTTGGACTATGTTTTATTTTGTCATTTGTACTCCTACAATGGTGGAAATGGAAAATGAACCAATCTGTTTAATGTATGGAGTAGTGAATCACAGAGGAAAATGAAATATGTTGAATGCCTATTCCAGATCCTAAAGAAAAGAAATATACCTGTACAAAGCAGAATGCTATTACTAGTCTGCATGGATTCACTTATTCTTTGAGTTGAGTCTGGCCCACTTTGTCTGAAGTCAAGAGAAAGAAAAGACTAAATAAACCAAACTATATTCAAAACCAAACCAAATTCTAAATCATATTCTACCCAACCTGATAATATGGTTCTTTTGCTTTCCTGAAGTAATGAGGAAAACATTTTTTTTTCTCTGCCATGAGGGTGAAAAGATGTTATACTTTAGGACAGAGAATCAGTTTTGTACTTAAAGCCTAGAGTATATCAAGCCAACTCTAACAGTGATTCATGTGTAGCCACAGCAGTCCTCTGTCCTGACACGTGCTCAATGTACCCTTTCACTAAAACTTTAGTGGTTTGGGTGTTAAAACACTTGAGAATATATTAGTGCAAAAATTTCAATTCCATGTTGCCTTAAAGAATGCTAAAAATGAAATAACATGGTAAGTTTAAATTCCAGTATAGACTACTTCTAAGAAGGGAGCAGCTTTTTAGAGTGCCTTGATTTCTGAGCACTTAACATTACTCAAGGTTGTAATCAGAGATCTAACAAGTGAAAGGCAGTTTTAACACCTTTGGTAATCTTGACTATATATATTTGTGATATAAAAAAGCACAATGACTTAGGATTTTTTGTTTATTTTGATACTGTCATAAAAAATGTAGAAACTGGGAAGAATGAAATTCATTAAACAAGAACCTTAAATGGAATGAAGTTACTATGGGAAGAATCGTATTGTTAGTGGTGACATTCACAAACACAACGCCCTCTTTTGTCAGAGCAACACATAGAACTTAGAAAATGGTACTGTTGACTGTTGACCAACCCTATCATTTCTTAACATAATTACAGCATCCATCCAAAATGAAGAAGTTGTTTTTAATCCAGTTAAAAAGCACAATTAGAGGAGTATTCTTTCCTAACCTGTATTTCTCCACCCATTTGGTATTTAGTAGGGATTTGTATTGCTACTGCACCTATTATAATTGTGTATGTATAATCTTTGATAAATAAACCTCAGCATAAGAGATTCCACTGAAATAATAATTAATGTGTCATATATTTAAAATTACTTATGTAGCATGATGAATGCTCTTACTAAAAGATGTAGTGATATATTGTGTGTGTGTGTGTGTGTGTGTGTGTGTGTGTGTGTGTGTGTGTGTGTGTGTGTATACCAGTCCTCGGCCTGAGTGCTGTCCTTGAGCTTTTTGTGCTTTAATACTAGCATTCTATCACTTGAGCTATAGTATCACTTCCTGCTTTTTGATAGTTAAATGGAAATAAGAGCTTCATGGACCTCCTATATGGACTGGCTTTGAGCTGCCATCTAAGCCTTCTGAATAGCTTAGATTACAGGCATGAGAAAACACTCAGTAAAGTGTAGCCCAGGCTGTTCTGGAACTTGCCATCCTCCTGCCACACCCTATTCACTGATTACTGGTATGTCCCACCCATGGCCAACCTCAGCATTTTTATCCATAAAATTCCCTAAACACGGACATGCAACTCATTTTATTCAAGATTTTGACTAACTTGATAGATTTCAATAACACAATGTAAGAACATACACCTGTAGCTCAACAGCAAAAACTGTTACAGACGAAATGTGGTTGACACCAATTCATTTGGGCCATTCACTAAATTAGCTCTATTTAAGAGTTTTAACACTAATTTATCTTGAAACTTTATATAGTAAGCATACCTCTTTATTTTCTGGGTAGATAATGACCATGGTAATAGAAATATGGCCACACTTTAAGTACTTATATTAAAAACAAATGACAAACTTTAGAGGAAATAACCCATTCACTATACATTTGCCTTGATTTCTCGAGAGAGACACATTCATTCTGATAAATTTCATTTGTTTTCTCTGACCTCTTTGAATTCAGACAAAATAATGAAGTCTTATTCAGCTGGAACTAAACAGCTGTAAAATATCCTTTTCATTAGTCCCTTCCTGGGATCCTCAAACATTCTAGGAATAATTTTTCAAACCAATGGAAAACATTAATATAAATAGAGTCACATATTAAGAGAGAGAGAGAGAGAGACAGACAGATAGACAGACAGACACTCTTGAGTAAGTTTCTGTCCTGGCCTCCACTCTAGAATATTTCCTTTTGAGATTTGCAACTGCCCCACCCAATTTTTGGTGATTTTATCTCTTTGATCACTGGAAAATTCCCGAAAGCAGCTAACGCTAACAGATCTTAGGTTCTGGTCATAAAGGATAGAACTGTGCACTGTGTATGCATAGCCCTATACAAGAAAAGCTGGACACTCTACAGGTGTCATGTCTATGCTCAATTAGTCCATTGAGCAGAGGAACTCCTTAACAAGAGTGTTATCTTAGGATGACAGGATTCTATGCAGTGGAATGCACACTTGATATGATGGCCACTAGAATCCACTGGTAAAACTGTGTCCTCCTCATCTGAGAGGCACACCCAGCTGTCCTGGGACCTGGGACAGATGGGCAATACTGTCACTGTCACCTGACTGGTCACCAAGTATCTGTTTTTGTTGGAGTGCCAAGAACTGTAACCTCCCTCCTTAGGCTATAGGTCTTCCATCTTCTGATTCGGGTTTGAAAGGGAGTAGATGGTTCAGAAAAGCTTGCCTTTGGTTTTATGCATGTATTTCTGGTAAATATGCTAGTTCTCTGCTCAAAATTAATGGGCTGGGAAAAATAATTTGTGTACTTTTCATTACTGAAGTTAAATGTGTTATTAACTAAAGTGAATTGAGTAGACTTGTATTGCTCATATATCTGTGTATCAACTTTTGAATAGTAACTATAAACCATTATTTTAAAGAATAATCATTGTCAATATAGTTGAGTGGTAACATTTGAAAAGATGGCTTCTAATATCATTAGGAATTAAAAATAAATAAGAATGTTAAAGGCCAAAACATTTAAAATTGGAATCCTTTTTGAAAACTCCTTGGACAAAAGGTAATTCTAAAGCAATATTCCTCAAATCCTACTAGCCAGTAATGAATTAGACTATCAAGTAGTTGCCTTTATATGAAAGTTGCCTTTAATATATAAGAATAAATATGGCTTATATCTGTAATCCTGGCTACTCAGGAGGCTGAGATCAAATGATTACAATTTGAAGCCAGCCTAGGTAGTAAAGTCCATGGGCCTTGTATCTCCCATTAACCACAAAAGCTGGAAGTGGGGCTTTGGCTTAAGTGTTAGAGCAGTAGCCTTAAGCACAAAAAGCTCAAGGACAGCATTAAGGTCCAGAGTTCAAGCTCCTCTGGGAGTGGCAAACAAACAAGCAAACAAACAAATAAATGCAGTAACATTTTCTGCTGAATCTCCTTATATGAGGGATATGTTTACCTGTGTAGGACCAGCCAATCTCTTCAACAAGTTTTCTCTGTTGTCTGTAGTATCCATAAGTCCAATCTATAACCAAAGAAAAATGAATGATTAACATCTAGATAACTATTTGTCCACAACTTGAAAAATACAAGATACCCAATATATTCATTCTTTTTGTTTGTAATACTAGGGATTGACTCATGGCCTGTGTTCAGCTTGCTTGCTTAGCATGGAGCAAGGAGAACACAAGGAAGATGGGTGGAAGTCAAGGTTCACTGCAAACTTCAAATTTTCCCTAGAACCATGCTTGCATGCAAGCAGTAGGGGTGCAACGATCCATGTCCTCCTTCCCTTGCATTGTCCCTTATTATTATTATTAATGCTCGCATTAATACACCATTTTTCTACATTATGGACAAAACAAATCTTTGTAGGCTGTGTTTGGAACCTGATCAGTGTTGACAAAACTGTTCCTATAGAAAGAACTACAAATAAGTTGTTAATCAACTTGTGGGTTATCAGTCATTCATAAATCAAGTTTCTCTCAATATAGTTTGCACTTGGATACATACACATATAGGTACACAATGAAGTATACTGGTTTTTATCATGGGTTTGGGAAAGTATTTCTTCCTTAAAATTATCTTTCTTCTCTGGATAAAGACCATTAACAAACAAAGATGGCTTCTGCCCCCTCTGTGATATTTTCCCATCAATTCGTCCCCAACCTTAAGAAACCTTACTGCTTCTGTGTCACAGGACTGAAGTTGAGAGGTGGCTTTGGGTTCTCTTTACTACTGCAATCATCTTTAATACAAAGTTTTGCTGGTCTATTTAAATTTGGTGTATTTTAAAAATTACATATAGACCCCATTTTAATTATCCAATCAATGCATACGTGGGTTGATTATACTTTGGTCTATGACAAAAAAATTCTGCTAAGAACAGTCATATATCTAGTATATAGAGAGTCATATATGTATATACTTGCTTTTTCACTTAAAATATTAGGCTCATAGTTTATTCTTCGAAATGGTTGTTTTATAAAAATAATTTTATAAAATTATATATATATATAATTATATAATTATTTTATAAAAATAATCATTTAAGAGTAAATTAACTTAGTTCTGAGGATAGGTGGTTCTTTATGATAAATGCATATACATAATAGAAAGGTCCTAAGAGATCATTTGACCGGGTCAAATTTGACCTAGTCATCTAGAAAAAATAATTTCAATTTTAAAATAAAGTCATTATACTCAAGAAATGTGTTTTGTATAGCTATTAATAAGAAAAATGGACTGTACAATTACTGTATCCTACTGTACTGATTTTGCCCAAAACTATATGCATGATTCTAACAGTTTTTCTTGAGCAAAATCTGCTGGGGCATGCCTGCCTTCCAGAGATACAAAACAAAGCAAAAAAAAAAAAAAAATGAGCCGTGGGATTACGTGCAGGAATTATTTAGACAAATAAACTATACAGAGTTGACTATACAGTCTACTGGATTCCACCAACAAGCATCTTCCCCCTAAAACTACACTAGCCCTAGAGAAAGGATTTATTGTCATCTGTTCATATATGATGATGATGATGATGATGATGATGATGATGATGATGATGATGATGATTTTAGTGTTGGTTCTGGGGCTTGAATTCAAGGCCTGGGTGCTGTCCTGAGTTTTTGCTTAAGACTAGCTCTCTAACTCTAGTCATAGTTCCCTACTTCTGGCTTTTTGAGTGGTTAACTGGAGATAGGAGTCTCACAGACTTTTTTTCAGTGTAGGGCTGGCTTTGAACTGCAATCCTCAGATCTCAGCTTCCTGAATATTAGGATTACAGGCATGAGCCACTAGCAGCTGGCTTCACATCTTTTAAAGTAAATATTTTTTAAAATGTATGACATTTCTATATATGAATGTACTTTGATGGTCTCAGATTAGATTCCACACAAAACCGGAATTGAGGTAAACAGATGTTTTAAAGATTCATCCTAAAGGTTGATAGCAAAGTAGTAGTCAGTTTTTAGCTTTCTTTGTGGAGTTCTATCCAGATATCAGAAGCATTGTACTGGGTTTCTAATTACTTACATTAGGAAAGCTTTCTCAATAAAAGATCCCAGGTGTTGCAGCTCTCTTCAATTCCTTTATGTATTGTTCCTTTATACAATCCGTTACACATTCATATGTTAATTACATAGACTTCGGGCGTGAGAGAGTACCCCACTTTAAAGACTCTACTTAGAGCTCTGATAGATGAGCCGTGATAGCTTCAGTGAACAAGAAAAAAAGCAGCTGGTTTGACAATCCCCCCCGCCCCCAACATGCCCTGCCATGGTGTTACATAGCATGAAATCCTATATAAAGTATGTCTTATACTAGGGCTTACACATTTTAAAATCCATTAAAATAATCAAGAATAGTGTTTTCTTTTTTTGGTGGGAGTGGATTTAGTTTCTTTAGTTTTATTTTGTTTCTTCTCACTTATAGTACTTGCTAGTTCTATTTAAGTCAGGCTACTTTAAAGTGATAAAACTAGGAAAGTGATTTTGGAAAGGAATGGCACCCATGAATACATATATAAACAGATCTTTTTAAAGGTTACTCTAAGTTGTACAACCAGAAATTTGGTTTATGTTATTTCAGGTACTATTAAACATTACTACTTCAATCTATAACCAACTACACAGTTGGAGTGTGTATGTATGTGTGTGTGTGTGTGTGTGTGTGTGTGTGTGTGTGCACGCACACCCATGCTAAATATACATGTCTCTATAAATATATTTCTACATACATGTAAATATATGTATTTATATGTCTTTATGTTTATATAAAGGAAAACACAAATTTTCCTTTCCTTGATAATCACCATTAATATTTTTCTTAAAAATTAAACCCTTTTATTCACAAGTAAAAATACAAGTGTTCATTTCCTACTAAAATATGATCAATATATTAAATTATAAAATCATTTTGGATTGTGCATTTAGCCTATATTCTTCGCTTCAACATTTTATTGTCAGATCCTAGTACAGATTCTAGCAGTAGTTTTCTGACAAAAATCCTCACACAGAGACACATCACATCTTCATGATGCAAAGTGCCCAAAGTGTGACTGGCAAAAGAAATACAAGGGTCCTCAGAAAAGGAAACTTCAAGATAGAAGAGGAATGATGGAAGGAACGAAGGAAGGAAGGAACGAAGGAAGGAAGGACGGATGGAAGGAAGGAAGGAAGGAAGGAAGGAAGGAAGGAAGGAAGGAAGGAAGGAAGGAAGGAAGGAAGAAAGGAAGGAAAGATGGACGAACCAGTCCTTTAAGTAAAGGATTAGCTTTGGTACAAGAATATTTGTGGAGACATCACCTGGTACCAAAGACTTAGGTTTCAGATCTCCTATTGTAATTGTCTTTCTCTGTTTGATAAGAAAGTTGAGGTCATGAACCAATGATCTAAATCAAAAATGATTAGCAAACAAGTAAAATTTAATTTACTCATGAGGTGAGAGTTTCCAATATCAATGCAGTTCATATCAATAAAATTTTCTACTAAAGGATAATCTGTAACTGGTAGATTTTCTCTGTGTATTTTCTCATTATTTGGTGTTAAAGATTGGGTTACAGTCAAAGTAAGTTATATGTAGCCTATCCTTACTGATATGGAATGTCTACTGTTATTCAGTATACATGCAAAAACACTGGAGAAATACGATTTAGCTAATGATAACTCAGATAATATGGCATGTGTAGGATAGAGTAATATTTTAGACACTGTTTTTCTGTTAATCACTGCCAACGTAACCCAAATCCTTAAAATTGTTTTAAAAAACACAATCATCATTTCCTCTCCAAATACATGTTTTCCAATTTCAGCTATGTCCCTTGTTAAAAGGAAGTGCTTCACTGTTTTTCTATTCTCTGCATAGGTTTAGAAGCAGTAGTACTTCCAATAGTATCAAAATTTGAACAGCAACTCAATATCTACTAAGAAAACACATTAGCGTATATTATTGTAGTCAGGGAATTTTGAAAATAAAAGAGGTTTGGTCGCATCACATATTTATTTATCTTATTATTTGTAAGTAGAATACATTAATTGTACAAGGGGGCTTTATTGTGGTAATTCCATAGATGTGTGGAAACTTTGTGACCTTGTCATGTAAGATTAAAGTGAAAGAAGGAAAAGGTAGCTGAGAACCAAATATTAAATTAACAAAGGAGATGGAAAGACTAAGTGCAAAATATGACATGAAGAACAAAGTGAGCCATTTCTTTCATATATATATATATAGAGAGAGAGAGAGAGAGCAGTGAGAGAACCAATTACATATGTGTTTCTTAGATTAGGTAGAAATTCTGAGGTCAGCAATGATATTTTATTATTCCACAGACAATGAGGATTTTGTGAATTTTTCCCCAGAAAGAACCTGTATGTTAGCAATATGTTTACCAAACGGACTCAAATTTTTCAATGAAAGCTCAAAATATTCCTTGTCTTGGAAAGTTTCCCATACCTAGACATATGCTTTCAATCTGATGTACTTTATCCATATTGCTAAAGCTAAAGGGTCCCTTTGTTAAATATATTAATAAATTTTTATCTAATTATGTGTTAATGAGTGCCTATTTCCAATAAGTTCGAAAAACTAAAGATAAGCAAATCCTTTTTAGTCATCACTTGTAAACTATCTTCTTCTACATACTTAGTCCACAATTTTGCACAGATATATTTTTAAATTGTCATATTGACTTATACTTTATAGAGATTTAATTATACTATTTATTTGGTGATTTGCTTTTTCCACAAAATAGTAAAACACTGACATTCTCAAGATAATGAATAGGATTTATGACATCACCAATATTTTTATATATTTATATTATATATTTTATGTTTATATTATATTTTATATATGATGTATTTATATATTGTATTATATATATTGAATATTGACCTAATTTCTTGGACTCAAGTAATATGAATGATTAAGCTAGCCTTCCTGGCATTTTATGTATGCAATAAAGTCATTAGGACATCAAATACTACTTTTCTTCTGTCAAATGTCTTGTATAACACCCAGAAA